TCTCCACCTATCAGGGGAATGAGAGGTTGCCGTGGCATGGTAACAGCATGGTAACATGACGCTCGTGCCTCGCCCCCCTGTGGTCAGCTGCAGCTCATTTGCCACAGAATCAGCCCTTGCAAAAACAGGGCTGGAAAAGAGCAAATAGAGCAAAATGAGGAATGGCTAAAATGCATGATCTGTTTGGTATTTTGAAAAAAAAACTTCACAGACATGTTTTATATAGGTATGTCCCTACAATATATTATTCAAATATAGCATGATAGGTCCACTTTAAGTAGAGTACTTGAGTAAATGCACTAAGTCACTTTACCCCACTGCTTCAAATATAGTATTTATTCTGCTGTGTTGTAACTAGTTCCCCTTCATGGCCTTGTTTATTGATAAACTAACTCAGGCAGCGTGGCACTGAGTGGAATGACAACCCTGCGAGGCACAGAAAGTGACGCACACAGCCCTGCATGCGGTGCCAGCAGTGTGTAAAGAGGCTAAAGACGCCGGTGGAGAGCACCTGTCAAACTTCATATCAAGTCACCCGTTTTTTCCAGCTTCACTTTGCTTTCCTCTAACCTGACAAGCAGGCAGGAGACCCCTCAGCGTGTCATGTGTCCCGTAAATGTTACTGATCCTAACTTGCATCTCCACACACTGCAGGCCAAACAGGATGATTGCTTGTGTGGTGGTGATCTCCCAAAAGTGACAAAGTGTGTTGACGGCTCTCCTCTGACGCAAGAAAATCATTTAGTTGTAGTGTCTGGTGTCACTGGGACGCATAGCAACGCAAATGCTGCCTATAAATACACGTCCAGGCTATTTTAAACCTAACGGGGTCAAACCGGAGAGTTCAACTTCCTTTTACCGCACAGAATGTATAGCTTTAATTTTCTGCAGAAGATTGAAGAAAATGGGAAGATGATTATAATTAGACAATAGTATAAACTGGGGAAATAAATGATACAAAGAGCAATCACAACCTATTATGTTAAGGTTGCATTAAAAGGTGTTATAATAAGCATCCTGGAAATGTGGTTAAAGGGTCAGTTCACCTAAATGATAAGAAAACCAAAAAACTTCAAGTCTAGAAATGTCTAGCTATAGCTTTGGTTTTGCTGCTAAAGGTTGATTCTGGAGAAAATTTGATAACAAATAAAAAACAAGAGGAGTAATGTCAGCATGAAACTTCCCTCATCAATTACTGCCACTAAGAGAATTGTTTTTTGTGTTGCAAGTTCTCTGAAATGTTATGTTTAAGTGTGCAAATAAAGCATTTTCTATTGATAACTTTTGGTCATTAAGGAGAAATGTACAGATACAAAGTTAGTCAAATAAAGCTGTATTTTTGATTATTTCTTTCCACTATTTGTAATGAAAGCAAATAGCTTAAACCTTAAAACGGTTCAGTACAATGTTTTGACTAGCGTTTCGGATTACTACTTTAAAGGGGCCCTAATACACACATTTTCAGGTTCATATTTGTATTTTGTATCTTTACTGTGACATATCTCCATGCTTTAATGTTCAAGAACATGTTTTTCTCATACTGCCTGTGCTACAGCACCTCTTTTGACCCTCTGTCTGAAACCAGAGCCCAGTCTGCTCTGATTGGTTAGCTGGCCGGCTCTGTTGTGAATGTCCAACCACTTGAAGATGTGCCACCCCTTAGCCTATCATATACAATGTGTTGGAGTGCTAGCCTAAGCGAGTGTTATATAATGAGGTCACTTTGTCGTGGAAGTAAACAAAGGAGTCCAATGGATGCGTATTTCTGTCTTCATCATAAACTGAACCTTTAAATTACCCCTGCTGATGACATTTCTGAAAACTACGGGAACTCATTTAACTGAAATTACATTTCAAAGTATAAAAAAAAGCTATATTCAGTTTGATTATTTAAGCAATCAGATGTTTATGTGTGTTAAGACTCAGGCAAACCCATGTACGTCATCAGAGAAAGACACACTTACTTCTATTCAGCCATGAAAGCAAAGATCTGATTGTGTAATAATTCATCTCTTCTCCAACACTTAACCTCTTAGTAATACAAACACTGATGTCAACTCATCAAGATTCATATTTCCTATAAACATTGAAAGAAGCACCGATTCATAAACAGTATCAGTTTATGTCAGCCAGTAATAGTGTTACATTTCAGTACAGAAATGTTGAAGACGTTTATTTGAAGACAGTTTCATCATTATACCATTGGTCTACTGTTCAATATATGGTACTGTATCTTAATAAAAAATAAAAAAATAGCAAAAAAACGTGATTCTTTAAGGAATACTTCACTTCTCAAAGTTATCATTTATCAACTTCTCACCGAGTGCAGTGGTGGAAGAAGTACTCAGATCCTTCAAAAATGTTGCTTAAGTCAAAGTACAGAAAGCAGTAAGAGCATTACAATATTGTATCTTGTCAATTTTAGAGATTTTTCAAATACTGGGTAGATCAATAGTACAGTACTGAATCTTATATCAGCATATCTTGTTTTTATATGTAAAAAGTAACTAGGAGTAAATAAATGTTATGGAGTAAAAACAATATAAGCCTCCAAAATGTAGTGAAAAAGAAGTATAGCATAAAATGGATCTACTCAATTAAAGTACAAGTATGACAAAATACTACTGATGATGTACAGCAATTGATAACTTAGTTACATTCCACCACTGACCAAGTGTTTCCTTGAATTTTGAGGTGAAGTTTACCTTCAAGAATGGAACTGCAAGATCTTGTCACATTATCAAAATGTCAACAGTTCAACATATTGGGAAATGAGCTTATGTGCTTTCTTGTAGAGTAAAAATAATAACATTGATATCAATTTCACCTCTGTTTATGTACGGAGCTGAAGTCACAACGTAGTTAGCTAAGTTTAGCTTAGCAAGATGACAAGAGAAAGGGAGAACTATAGCAACTAGCGTAGCAAGCTAGGCTAATCTTGCTGCGACTCCAGAACAACACAGATAAAGAGTGGTGCAGTGATGACGTATTAGTGTAGGCTGACAGAATGGGTCCCTTGATAAAAAACAAAGGGAATTTTTCTTTGCCTTTTGATATATTGCAAAAAATAAGCTCTGTTGCAAACACATCGTGATACTTAACTAACCAAAAACACGACCCAATAAGCCAGCATCTATCTGCATGGTTCTAGCTAACATTGAAATCGTTCTTCGCAACTGTGAAACTATGACATATTTGAGTATCAATGAGTTTATTAAACCTCATCACGTCCTGTTAATACATGCAAATGATTACATCAAAAAAACATATGCTACATTTGATACTTTCCTTACAGTATGGAAGTACACTGGACAATAAGTAATCAACACTATACACAATGTTCCTTTTGATGTCTACAATTTGCCAAATCTACTCAGTGTCACTTTATAGATTTTGTTTAATACCGAGTATAATGATTAAGATAATCAAGGTAAAGCTGGAATAGTTTTTGTTGAATAATAGATTACCCGATTGACATAATTGGCAATTACTTTGATATCCCTATAATCGTTAAAGTATGTTTTAATGTATTTAATGTATGTATGTAAATGTTTCTCTGTATTATATTATATTTAAGTGAATTTCTTTGGGTTTTCGACACTTAAGGACATTGCCTTGGACTTTGAGAAAACATTTTTCCCTTTTTTCCGATATTTTATAGACCAAACGATTCACTGAGAAATGTATGGACAGGTAAAAAAAATGTAAGTTGCAGCCCTAAATCAAAGTGCTTTGAGAGAATACGTATTTAACGTTAAACATTCTCTCTGAGTAAAATATCGTGTGCCATCTAATCCGATTTGCTGAGAAAATATTTGCAGATTTGAAGGAAAATCCTCACATTGAGTACCATAAACTTCCATAGCAGACAATCCTTGTGAGATGAACACTGACACTTCATAAACAGTTGAGGAGAAGTAAATGAAGGATGAATCATTGTCCTGGATTTTCCAGTTTCCCTTTCCTTCTCCTGGGCCTTTCAAAGCACACATTCTCTTTAGAATCAAAGCCGCCACATCCAACAGCAGATTGATGGGAGACTTCCTCTACACGGTGGTAATTCATCTTAATTGTGATCCATTCCTCTTGGCTGCGTTCCCAGTTGGCCAGATGCTCGACATCTGTTTGACCAATAAATCCCTTACAATGTCTTCAAAGCATTAAGGTCTGGGCGTATAGAGTCTGCGGTAAAAAAAGGCTTTTACAGGTTGGAAGAGGCTAGCCAACATCTGTATGCAGCTGGTCATGTCCAGAAAACAGAAGATGAATTATTACCATCAAATTGGACGTACAGGGTCCCACGACTTAATAGACGGAAGCATATGTGCATAAATCAATCCTGAAATTAAAATGTAAGTTGAAGCGTCCTCAACATATTGTCTTCAGTGATTGTGGTTCTTGTCTTTTTTGATGTATTTTATCCATGGTTCTCTAACTCATTCTCAAAACCAGGCCTTTTCAGACCCAGAAAACCAGGTGTCTAACTTCTAGTTCAAGTAAAAATACTCCTCTGGTTGGCGACCAGGGCGGTCTGGCTCTCCCGCCGCCTCTCCTTCTTCCTCCTCTCCAGTCTCATCTTCCAGCAGACCACGCTGGACGCCAAGAGCACCAACCCGGCCGAGAGGAGCACCAGGCCAAAGTAGGAGATGGTGGATCCATGCGAGTTGAAGCTGTAAGCCACAGCGGTGACCACGATGCCGGCGATTAGGACCACCACACCAAAGGGGATGGTGCAGCGGTAGCAGGAGAGCTCGGCCCCCCCCGTGGCTGCGGTCAGCTGCACTTCATTGACCAGGGGGATGTTCACCTGGGTGGCTGTGGGACTCTCTGTGTTGTTGGCCTTCTCTGGGGTCGCTGGCGTTCTCATGGCGTCCTCATTAGCTTCTTCTGGCATTGCAGGAATTAGAAATCCTCTGTTAACCAACCACAGATGGTTTCTTCGCTGTCGCCCCTTTACCTCCCTTCCTTGCTAGGGTGTTCCAGTCTGTGTGGGGAGGAAATTGCAAAAGTCATACTTGTTGTTCAACACATGACAAAGACTTTCCAGAAATAGTTGTTTTTTGGTAGATTTTGACACCACATTTCACAATTCAGCAACACTTTTCTGACCCCCCCCCACACGCTGCTTTAATGTAACTTCTTTGCACAATCCCAGCCGCCGCCCCCTGACCCCGGCAGAGGAGTTGTATGAATGACGCAGGACCACTCAGCCCTGCACGAGCTGAGACATTCCCTGGAGAGCGCAGGATATGGCATTACAAACTGCTCCGTGAAATGCGAGGAGCTTCGAAATCACCAGCAATTTCCCAAGCACTCATTCTTTCCTCCATCGCGTCAAGAGTCAGTGACAATAAATGGGTAGTGTCAGGTATGTTATCTTTAAAATGCTTACTTTTTTTATTAAGAGGGCCAAATATATCTCTTTTAGAATTGTATAAGGTTGTTTAGAAGTCTGACATGTCGTTCCCAAACTAAGGTGTCAGCTGAATTTGATGGAGAACCTGAGAATTTAAGCTTGGTAAAGTTAACTTAAAAAACAACAACATTGTGGGTATTTAGATAGAGAATTCCAATCACAAAGTTACCACGGTTATAAAGATATCTAGTTTTTTTTGTTTAGTCATTTTTTAAGCTAAAATGCAAATCATTCGCTCTTTCCAGCTCTTCAAATATGAGTGTTTGATGCTTTTATTTGTTGTGTAGGATTGTAAAAACCTCTTTGATGTTAAATGTGGGAAATCATAAAATAAATGTTGCATTATTTTTTTGACACTTGATTGACATTTTTTAATTTATTAGAATGTAAATAATGCTATACTTGTGAAGTAATCTGGACTTTTCTTTCGAACATAGTGGTTGCCAGATCTTTACCAAGTATCAGAAAGAGGAGAAGAAGAAGAAGAAGAAGAAGAAGAAGAAGAAGAAGAAGAATGTCTGCTCTATAAAATAACCGTAAAGCTATTATCGTTAAAGCCAACTATAAAGTTTTGCCTCTTAAGGACTTTAAAAGCTTTTCTAAGCAACACCATCTGTGAAGGAACATCAGGCTTTGTTTGAAATGCTCTTGATCACACTTGATCCTTTGTACTCATAAAATGTAAGTTTGAAATGTTACACGAGAAAAAACTATCAGGGGAAAAGGGTCCAAGATGTGAAGCAGAAACAGTTTAATAAAAAAACAAGTTATAGTATGAAAGAAGACGTAATTAAATGAAATTACAGCCAGTATAGCGTATTTTAAAATGTATGACAGGTGTGTAATAAGCATGGCAAATGTTTGTTAAGGCTAATTAGCGATAAGAAAAAAAAGTCATTAAGTACAGAAAAACATACTTTTTTAGCAAAAATAATCTGCAACCACGGCAATGTAAACTGACTTGGGGCCTGGTAATAAGAAAACTTACCTTTAAACTTCAGCTTGTTATTTGTAATGAAGTAAATCCACAGCTCGACAAAGCAGAGTACAGACAGAAGAAAGGTTACTTGCCTCACAGCCGTTTTCCATGTTGCGCAAAGTGCTCCTCTGCTGCAGGGAAGCGTCGCCTCTGTGGAAACCCGCTCTTAAAATATTCAGTCAGATTAATCTAATTAAAAGATTTCTTCTGTGTTGAAGTCGACCGCAAACAGCTTCTCTTTCCGGGCTGGAATATGACTCCCATTCACGAGAGGCGTCCCCCCGTGAAGTCCTCAGGTTCAGGGCAGCGGCTCGGACTGCCATCCCCATTCAGAACAACTATTTCAAGTATCGATGACTGCAGCATGAAACCAACCGCAGCAAGGGGGAGACCACTTCCGGTCATTCATTTCAAAATAAATCTAATTTTGTAGCGAGCATTGATTGCAATTGATTTCCCTTGTATACAATTATTTTGAAATCAACATTTGTTTATTTCCCTTACTGTTTATATTGATCACTGAAATGTAGTTTTATAGGTGTTGCTGAAAAAAACCGCTTAGACCAGTTTAAGATGGTTGCTGGTTTTAGCTGGTGTTAGCTGGTGTTAGGCTGGTGTTAGGCTGGTTTAGTTGGTTTACCAGGCTGGACAAGCTGGCCAGGCTGGTCTTGCTGGTTTGTTAGTATAGTTGGCCAGCTTGGTATGGCTGGTCAACCGGGCCAGGTAAGCTGGTGTCTGCTGGTCAAGCTGGCTGGCTGGACTGACCAGCAAAGCCCGCCTGGTAAGCTGGTCAAGCTGGTTAGGATGGTTTGATTTTTTACATTATGGATTTCTCCCCACATACTATTAACTAAGTTAATTCATATGACCTATGGACCTGGTTTGTTCTGTTCTTTATTTCAACAAAAATAATTGAAAGATTAAATTGTTTTGATTTCATGTATTTAATTTACTTTGAGTAAAATGTAATTAATCAATTAAAATCTGATAGATGGAGCAGTTCATTCATTCATTTATATAGTCAAACAATTTAACAGTACAATCATGCAGGTGGCATATTCAACGCTAAATAGTTTAATGTGCAGGAACTGTGGTTTTGATTGACAAATGTAGTAGTAATGTTAAATATGATGAATTAATGAATGCAATATGCTGTGGCTTAAAACAAAGTTTAAGAAAAGCAACACAGCTTTTCATTTAAAACAAAGTCTTTAATTTGAATTGGATACAGGAAGTGGCATTCGACCGACCAATGGTGTAATTCCATCACTCAGCTGAATTTCTAACACTCAATCATCACAGAAATACCTTCAAAGGGAAGCTAATATGGACAAACACTGGACAAAAGGTCACATCTGATGGCTAGATAAGCATTGAATATAAGACCCCAGGTCTCACAGACCTATGGAAGAGGGAATAGGCTTGAAGGCAAATAAATGGAGGCCAAGGGTGAGTACTTATACTCTAATGTGTAGAAAAATTGTTCTGCATTGTTTTACCCATGTTTTGTCATCATAAGGAAGATTTTGGGTGATAATACAAACCTGCAATAATGCATACCAACATCAATTTCTTTAGAAAAGAGAATAAATATGTTTAAAAAAACATTTACATTTTAATTTTGTCATGTGTAAAAATAATCACATCCCTTTTTTATCATCTTATTCACACAACAGTAGTACTGTAGGTTCCAACATTTGAGTCTCGAGGACAATTCAAGAACATTTATAACAATAAGAAATGCAGTAAGCCAAAATACTAGTAGTAGTAAAAGTACTTTAATGGTAGCATTTTGCCTTTTAAAGTATAGTTCCCTTTCATAATAATGCAATACAGAGGTCTGTCTGTCATATCAGAATGTTTTATATAGGATTTTCAGACAATTATGTTCCTGACAATCACTGACAAACTGTAATTAGTAATTTAACAGTATGTTTACATTAAAGACATGACACACAAAATATATGGCAAACAATGATATTTCATCATTAATCAATAATCAAGCAATACATTAAACACAATTCAGGACCCACTTTATCTTTACATTAAAAGAAAATACATCAATAAAACACTCAAATGTACAACAAGATGCCCCAGATTGGAGCTGCAACAATTAATAGTTCCTCGGTCCGCGTCCTAGATGTCATGGATAATTGCGGTCAGACATTCCCCAGAAGAGGTAGTTACACAGTCGGTTAGACGGTATAGTTGACCATCTGAGATTTTTACATAGTATATTTTACCGCCCGAAAGAAATTCAAGAGAACCGAAAACGAATTGTACACATTTCAATATCGAAGAAAATGTTCCGATTTTACAAGTTAAGGTTAAATAAAGACTCGGTTTATATGCTTAAGTTGAACGACGACGTTAAAGTAATAGTAAGACCAAACACATCCTGGCCTTAAGGTCAAAGTTGTTCACAATACGACCCGGTCCCCTCGTTTTGTTACCGCCTCCCAAGAATAGTCGAATAGAGTTATCCGGGGGGTCTAAGCTTATGTAAGACGTTTTAAGCGTCTCGATGTCCCCTCGTTTAACTCGATGTTAAAAACCTAATGTCCCCAACCTGTCCGGTTCGTTTCGTCTTTTGTGAATATAGGTCTGTAAACTACTGGCCGCATGGAACATGTTTCGTGACAGTCGTGGTTCCACGTTGAAATAGTCTTAGGATTGTTGGACAGTTATGTGCAAGTTAAAGTCTACCACGGGGGGTGGAGAAATGTTCAGAGGTTTAAAAGGTAGACCGGGGTAAGTGGAAGTGGAGGTTACTCGACGGGTGGGTTTGTGATCAAGTTTGTGCACTACAACCGCCCAAACACCCAAACGCTGTTGTCTCGGGAGTCTACGTACAAAAAGAGTTCGGAAAAACATCTAGTTCGTTTTCATGAACGCCTGTTCCTCACAGTACCGACCCTCTTTCTCTACCGCCTTGTAAAAGTAGTCGTCTTGCAAAACCACCCAATAGACACGAACAACTAAGTTCCGGTTCCTGGTTTGGTTACGGTCTTGAGAGTTGTCAAGTGCCCCGATAAAAAAAACGAATCACCCAAAAGACGGCGATGGTCGAGTGTGAACATTAATCTGTTCATTTTATGTGAATAGTGTCTAAGTCGTAATGGGACCTGTCTCTACGACTCGTCGTACCAATTTACTGTACCTCCGTTCGAGAGTAGGATGTCTTTTTGCACCTCCCCTTATTTTTCCGTGAAGGAAAACTAATTAAGACGGAACGAAACTGTAACACCACGCCCGAAACAGGGACTAATGTACGTACGACAGAACACACCCACACCGGTTCCGGTCGTACGTCGAAAGAAGAATGAACTCTCGCGTCTACTCGGTAGCTAATGTAACGGCGGGTTCGATGTACGATTTCCTTATAACTTTAACTCTCCTGAGGTTTTTATAGTTTGGTGGTGTGGAATAGTGAGCTGAAGGGTCCCGGTAGAGTCTAAAGTTAAAGACCTTTCGTAGTCTCCTCCAGTAACCAACAACAAGATATCAAACGGTACCAGATCTCCTGAGTATCTACTACTTTATGTGTATTGGTAGAACGGAAGAACCAAAAAGTCCGTTAGATGGACGAAAACGTTCTCCTTCCAATCAAAACGTCCTCCAGTTGTTTTCGACTACTCTACGACAATCTTAAACATTATTACTAAAGTTCGGTGACAAACCCAATCCCGACCGCGGTACTGGAAGTTTACAGTAGAAGACTGTCGTAGACCGGTTCAGACACTTCACACGAAACCCAGGGAACACTACCCGCGTGAGACGGAAACAAAAAACTTCTGGCCGATTGCGGACTCACGAAGAGTTCAAACCACGTACCGTGTTTCCTGACATGGCATTCGTCTAACCACCCGTTTAGAACGAGGTGTTTCAGGAAAGGTATAAAGCGTAGGTTCATATTATACACTCTTCACTGGCGCAAAAACCAAAGACATCAGTATTACTGACTCCTGAGATTCGGCCCCAATTTCCTTAATGTTTTGTTAAGGTCGTTTATGGTTACGAAGACCTACCGGCTGTACAGTTTTTGTAAGAGTGTGTCGTACTCGCGTGGTTCGAAAACGAGCGTCGGTCCTTTTGTCGAGGTCTATCTTAGGAGAGTGTGCTTCTCTTTACTAAGTGGTTCCAGAAAACTAAATATGGTCCACTAATGTCAAGCTCGTTCCTCTTCGTTACGTGACCACGGCAGTCTGACGAGACCGTACCCTAGAGCCGCCTCTCAACGCGAGTCTAAAGAGACGAATACTACATCTACCTTTTTCACTTGAACGGGAACGAAAAGTAGGGTAAAATGTGTGAAAGACCGACAGGAAGGGTGTTTCCCACAAGACACCGGCTGTGTAACCGGACGGTAGTCTGGTCCCACTGTCTAGTGTTTACTTGACTTAACGTCATGTATCTAAATGTGTGTTCACACCAAACAGTATCTTACAACCGACCTCTTTCACAAACGAAAACACTAATGGTTTGAGTTAACTCTCTCTAATTTTTGTAACCGCATCAAACGAAGTGTAATCCCGTATGATTCAATAAAACACTTAACCAGTTATATAATACTTTCGAACCGTCAGTTGTAAGAATTTATTCAAACTTATTTTACTCAGTTATCTACTACAATACCCTTTGTTGCAGTTCTAAAAAAAAAAAAAATAAATTTGTACTCAAATCGTACGGGATGTTACGTTATGTTATGTGTAAAAGTCTAAGATCCTCTACAAAGGGACGAAGTGACGTAACAAAGAACCAAAAACTCTTGAAAATTTTATTTAAATAAATATATTTACAAACTCAATAACCTTGTCCAGACGAAAATTAGTCTAACCGATTAAAATTAGACGACGTCCTCCCGCCGGTCTTTTGTTGATAAAAGGTAATAGCAATTAAGACGAACGGTAATTAAAAGAACAAAATTTAGCTAAATACCCGGATCAAAAAAACACCCAGGTATCTTTAACTATATTTTTTTATACGGTATTTAATGGTTCCACTAATAGAAAGTTTACAGACCAGAAACAAAAAATTGTGTTTGGTTTTTTAATAGGTTAAGTGACAGTATCTTCTGATATTTGGCCCTTTTATAAGGTGTAAAATTTTCACTGAAATTTTGCTAAGTAAACTAAAAAGGTTTATCAACATTAAATTATCAATCGTTTGAATTAAGT